GCGGGAGGAGGAGGAGAGATCTCCTTTCCGGCTTCACCAGTTTTAGCCGGCGCGAGCTCATCATCGCCGTGAGGTTGAGTTCTCCATAAACTTGCAGAAAAAGTTTGCAAGATTCCATTTTTAGAGAAGGATGGGCCAACACAAGTGTTCCCCATCAGCTTCAAGCGTTAAAGCTCTCTGCAACTCTTCGTTTCCTCCCTCTGCATCTGAATCTGGCCATCCACAAAGCTATTTCCCGAGTGATTTTCCTCAATAAGATTGAAGCTTTATCTAGAACACGGGAGAATTCTGAAAACAGCGGACCAAAAACCAAAATCCGGATTGAATCCTGAAAAAAAAAAAAGTCAAGTCTGATGAGCCCTAGGGACCTTCTCCCAATTGAAGCGAAGTTGCTCCGAAATGTAACCCCCCAATTCGATCGAAGAAAAGGTAGTAGCTTTCACGGGAAGAGCGATGATAACTATGGAAGCGAAGCAAAGGAAAATAATGGAGCGGTGAATGGGGGAAAAAGAAGATGGATTAACGTGCGGACTCGTGCGCTCTCTCTATCTCACCCTCTGCGTGAGTCAAACAAACGCGCTTACTGAATTGGGGGAAAAATTTTTGGGAATTTGACCGCTTTTTTATCAATATTGCATTAAATTGAGTCGGCTTTTTTTTGCTAGGGTTAGGCTTAAGGCTTAGCGAATGGGGCCGCATGTAATCCATACATTACGCCGGCGATTGGCGGGGGGGGGCAGCGGCGGCCGCGGCCGGCTATCTTGACTGGCCGCGGGAAGCTTATGAGCGCCTCTTTACACATCATAAATTAGAAGGCATAATTTCATACAGATTATCCAAAATATGCTATTTACAAATTTAGCATCTAGTGATTTTTTTGAACTTTCAAAGTGATGTATTTAATCGTGTCACGATTAAATTATTGAGAATTTGATAAAAATTAAAAATGTCAATTGTGGCTTTACCACAAATGTTGATATTTGAGCGAGAATTTGAAAAAAATATATAAAAGAGGGTGGTTGATTTGTAAATAGCTTGTTTTGGGTGGTTTATATGTAATTTCCCCCCATATAATTAAAATTGCTATTTATAAATCAAACATTATCTTTCATTCATTTTACAAATTCTCGCTCAGATATCAAAATTTGGTACATGCATAATTGCACTGGTTCGACAGTTAAAAAATAACATGGGTGCTTGATTTGAAAATATCAATATTTCAAATGTTATGTATCTAGTTTATCCCTTCAAGTAGAAAGACTTTCCCCCATGTAGACGAATCGAGGTGATCTCCGGGCTCGGCCGCCCCTTTTATTCCACAAAACACAATGTTACAAGTAGGGAATAAAAAAGCTCGTTTTACATGGAAGGGTCGTCCTATTTGTAGATGATAGAAGAGCCAAAACGTAAATTACAATATTACTCTTGCTTTTAAAGTGTGGTACTTGATATTTTAGTTTTTTGTCTTGATGGGGGAGTCCCTCGTCCTGTTCCGGTTGGCCGAAGGAAAAATTTGGTCGACCGACTGAAATGAAGTAGCCGATAGAGAGAGCTTGGTCGGTCGACTGAAGTGAGGTGGCCAACTATCAGATTGCCTCAAGCTCCGCGCAGACCATTTTTGAGTAAACAATCTTCTATACATATATAATCCTAAGAATACTGAGATTTATTGAGATATTCAGCAAATTTAATCACACACAAATACATCATTTTGTTTTGATTTTGATATTATTAATTATTCCTAAAATCTATGTGGAAGTACCAAAATAACCTTAGTGAATAATGGACGAATGGCTTGTTAAATTTTCAGGTTTGATTTATTTATTAATTAAATGAATTAAATTTAAATTTCTTTATCATATTTAAATTTAAAAGTATTTAAAATATATTTTTATCATTAAGCTAATAATCTTCTCATGATCTATAAATTAAAAGAAATTCAATATACTTCTTTAATTATTAAATTAATTTACTGTTTTTGTAAGCTAATGCATGACATTAAATGAGATGAATTTCAATAAAAAAAAATTATTTCATTCATGAAATTGATATATTTTCATTTTGTCAACAAGCTTAGATTTATATCTCATGCTTAAAATATTATTTGCTTTGCGCCTATTGACAAATTGGTTGCCAACATTCACAAAATTCAATTTTTATCATGATGAATTTTAAAATTTATTTAAAGATAAGGATAAATTTATAAAATATAATGGGCTTAAGTGGAGAATTAGTTGAAGTAGCCCTTGAGTTAATCATGCTCAATCTGGTGAATTCCTGAGAGATGAGACGAATCTTTGATGATTCTGTTGATCGATATGAATTGCTCCATGAATAGTTTGGCATGTTCGTTGGAGGTATTAATAGTGCTCTTTCGAGTTACAATAGGGCTAGGTGCAAGCTTGACCCCCTTGGGAGTGACAAAAAACACTTGATAGAGAAGAATATCAGAGGCACACTTAATGTTCATGATGGTTCGATAGTGGTCCATGTGCTCGTATGGGTCAGTTAACTTTTAATAGAAATCAATGTTCGAGATCTTGAAACCCGTTGGGATGGGGGCTTGGAGTACCACGTAGGCTAAAGGTGAAGATTGTTGAAAGTCACGATGAATGGAGAAAAGATCCATATTTCTCAAAGGGAACTCTTTTAGAATCAGACGTTGTAGCTTGTCACAATCAAGTTTTTAATAGCATCAGCAAGATGCAGCTAGACCAATTTTTTCGTGAGCATCAAAGTGTTAACGATCGGACTAACTATGTTGGACTGATGAGTGGAACTCTTGGCATCAATGAGGTCAACATCTTATAGAGGAAATGTTCCATAGCAAGGAGGTAGCTTAGTACGAGTGTGTTCAAGAGGGGCATTTCTCGTCAACTGTTGAACTGGTTGTGTGGGCATTGGTTGTCGAGGTCATATTCATGTGTGAGTTGAAGGATCTCATGTTGTGACTCCTCCACTCTGCACACTCAATCTTTCAAAGAGGGACTTAAGGCTCCTTTGCAAGCAGAAAAATGCTTTCCCATGTGGTGACTGAAGCTTAAAGTTCTTGGTCTGTGATTGTCCCCTGGAATGATGAGTGCTGGAGTGTGATACTTCATTGTTGCAAGTATTTTATTAAGTGGTTGTGATTTAGCTCACGTGACAAAAACATGAATTACTTATAAATTGCTCATGAACAAATCTTTAAGATAACTACATAAGGTTCATTAATTTATCTTGATTTTAAATGAATAAATTTAAATCCATAATTATTTTTTTCCTTTCTAATTCAAGCTAAATCAATTCATATATAACAAAATAGAATAAAAAAAATAAAATCAAATTCAAATCATATCAATACAAACCACATTACCATACAAAATTAAATATAATACACCACTTTTATATAATCTCTTATTGATTGATTTTTATTATTATTTTCTTCTATAGCATTGACTTCCACTAGATATTTATCAATTCCAAAATATGACCAATTAAAAATCAATGTTGGTTATATCATTAATTAAAAGATAAACCATGTATTATACAAGAGCTAAAGACAAGAACAGCTCATCAAGACTAAGGATTCGTTACTCAGTCAAGGCAATTAATAAATATTATATAAAAGCTTAATAATAATTTAAATTAATTAATATCTCCAAATCATTCCTTTTTTTCACTAATTCCCAAAACAATCCACTAACTATTTGAACTCATCAACCATTCAAATTAATACCAAGTTTTGGGGGACCAATTAAAACTTTAATGATTGATTACTAAAGTGAAAGATTACATTAATAGAATAGCTGCAATTCTTTGAAGAAACAGACGTAAAAATAGTGTGGTACCTATTAAATTTAAAAAACTAAAACACGAAAACTTTTTTACGACCGCTGCGCTTGTGCTAATCAATTTACAAAAAACAAATTACAAAAACACCGCAAACTAGGTACAATGACGCTACCCTATTTAACTCATATTTTTTAGATAAATATAAAATAAAATTTAACCTACAATATCTTATTTTTTTACCAATTTTAATGGCTTAATATTCAATTAAATTAAATTGAAATTAAATAAATTTAGCTTAATTTATTTTTAATTTTCAGTTTTCCAACAGATGTGGAGCCAAAAAGCAGTACACCACCTCCCTTCAATAAATCAGAGAAAATACAAAGCAGTTTGGTTTGAATAAACATGTCCAGATTTGCTCAGTAGTGGAGATTTTGTGGATCACAATTATTATTATTATTATTTAAAAGGCTCCAATTCCTCACCACCTTTTTTATTTATTAAAAGGAAATAAATATTGTTTCTTTCTCCACATTCACCGGTCATTACAATAGCTCGTACATTTACATACATACCACACCATTCTTTTCTATTTACACATCAAACATCCAAGCTTTCATATTTACGTACATAACACCGCAATATTTAACAGACCATTATTACTAACATTATAAAAATAAACATCAAACTTTAGGTATTATATGATCAAAATTTCTATGCATTTACATTTCTAACACAGCACTTTGGCCTATAACCGATGTAAGGAAAGGTATGTTTCAGTTTTAAAAAGCAAATTATAGTGGTGTTATTGGCATAGTATTAAGGATTAGAGAGGTATACATTTAAAAATGTTAGGACTTGGATATGTAAAGACACAAGAATTGTCTGCCTATTGCACTATAATTTAATTGTGAAGACTCACAGTTCCAATTCCAAAAATACAGCATATAGGCAACACTTACTTCTAACAAATAAATAAATAAAGAGAAACCTAAAACTTATAATAAAACTCTTAAAATACTCTTAATGAAATAACATGCAAATTTTTTATAGGCCCTAAAGAGGAGAAACTATTACATCCGGACCTGCGGACGACAGTGTGGATCGCATCACGCCGTGCATCCAAAAGCTTGATTCAATTTACTCCGTCGACCACACGCCCGATATACCAGAAGTAATGTCTTCTCCTGGGGAAAGATGACTATGATTTCACAACAAAAGCCAACTAGCACTAAAGTACAGCACATAAAGGCTATAGATATCCTTCTGAACAATAAATCCAGCTTCAAGCCATACATACAGCAATTAAAACTTGATTTTATACAATTTTTTTTCATATTAATTTTTTATGCATCAATTGCAAATGATTTATGTAAGTGGCAATTACATACACAGCACAAAAACATTGGTATTTACAAATCTAGTGCCCTCTTTCATTCATTTTTCAAATTCTCACCCAAATATCAAAATGTAACAATCTAGGCCTGCATAAATGCAAAGAAATCACCGAGGTGCTAGTTTTCTAAATAGCAATATTTAGAGTGCTGTGTATGTAATTATCCCTTCATAAATATGATGATTTCTGATAGTCTGCCTACTCAACTATGAACTGAAAATACCAGAAGATTCTTAGACTTCTCTAATCTCCACATCAAAACAAGCATAAGGATCTTTCATCTCCTTGGATGGTCTGGTCTCATGTTGCTGATGAGCGGGGGGCTGCCGGAGTTCAAGAGGCGGCCAGCTCCTCTGCATCGATGGAATGCCAGGAGTTGAGAAACTCCTTCGTCATCTTCTCTGTAGCTTCCACGAAATTGCTGAAACCACCGAGAAATTCCCGCTCGATTGATTCGAGGTCACTGCGCAGACTCGGAAAGGCGAAAGGTTCGGAACCATTCGACTCGAAGGGAAGAAAGCCCTGTTTAACTTCATCAGATACATCATCTTCAGTGTGCTCAGTAATTGATTCCACAATTTCTGCAGGTCTGAGAACCAGGAAGGCATCAGAAAACACAAGGAAAAGAAATATAGAGCTGTAGGGTTCATAAACAAGTGAGCAAAAATAGAAAGATGGAAGAATGAAATTTTGAAATTACGAATAATGTTATTATGTTCATTCATAGAGTGATGTGACGGAAATTATAAATTTATGAAACTGTGGATGGTTGAAGATCAATATCCCTGAATTCTATGCACAGTTGCAAAGCCCTCTTAAGGAAACCGGCTTTCAGTGAGACTTTTGAATGATTTTTCAAAGGTCTGGTTGATTTTTTATGTTTGTCAACAAACATGGCCTTAAGAAAAATGCTCAGTGCAGGGCTAAAAGATAAAGCACCAGATTAGTTAATTTTAAAAAGGAAGATATACAGAACACTTAATTTCCATGCAGTTGCATAACTAACACCAAAACTTCAATTTTTACACACATACCTCCTTGACTATGCATGGGGAATAGTATTTCACATTTTAAAACTTAAAATGGTGGTATTTTTTATGTGATATGAAAAATTTGTGTGGTATCAATGTAATACACAAAGTTTAGGTGTTCGGTATGTAAATACATAAGAACTGGCTGGTATGTATGTAAATGCCCCAAAAAAACAGCATTTTAGCTTGTTGTCTACAAGAAATCATAAGGTGGAGAGGGTGTATGAATAGATTTAAAAGTTGTCAAGAAACCAGCACTTGGATAAATAAACTGGCAAATGAAGACTGCAATAACAATCATGAGCCTAAATAAGTGGAATAAGCTCCATGCAACAGAGCCTCAATGGGCATCCTTAACATTGGAATCTTCAAGGATCGTAGAAACTCAAATGAGGAATGTTGAACTGTACAAATTTCGATCATGTTAAATTTTCAATTTGTGCATTGTCTTATCAAATAATTATCCAATGTCGATCGTATTCTTCTAATCTTTATCTATAATAAAAATAATAATAATAAAATTCGTGTCAATGTTAAAAAAGTTAGGAAGATTATTTCCTTAATAAAAAAATTATTATTCACTAATCCACTTGCCCTAACACTTAGCAACAAAATGAGAAGGAAGAAAGAAAAAATTAACTTCTAAAAGTCACAAAAAATATTCTCTTCAAAAATCAAATTCCAAATATTATTGAGGATAAATTTACCTCCCCTTCATATATCTCATTAATATAATACTCTCACAAGTGATTAAATTCAAAAGAACAAAAATTAACTAGCTAAGTTTTTTTTCCCTCAAATATTTTTTTCCGCAAAATCTTCCTTGAAAATTTTTTGGTTGTGCATATATTCACATACACAAACAATGTCATGACAAACATGATTCTATGATACTTGAGTGTATTTTTTTAAAATGTTTTATTCAACCATTACAAATTTCTTCGCTTCAATAGATGTCACTTTTGATTTTTTTAAAAAAAATCCATAATTTATCTTCAGGGGAGAATAACCTAATAGAAGAAATATTTGATGAACTTGATATCTTCTCTCTTGACATCCTAATTGAATCAGCACAAGCACAACATATTATTTCTATCACTAAACCTCTTCAAGTCTACACAAGAAGAGCAAAGCCTATCCTAAGTCCCCAACAAACTCAAAATTTCGAAGCCATTGTCAAATAACTCCCACAGCAATGACAAACCAATTACCACACATTTTCCTAAAATACCAGAAATCCTATTTGGCACATTAGAAAACAAGAATTAGAAAAAGTTATAAAAGCTAGATGTTCTAGTGAAAATTCACACAGGTGAGATCATTGAGCTACCAAAAGGGGAAAAAGATGGGATGCAAAAAAGTTCTCATTAAAATATAAAGTGGATAAATTTCTCATTAAATATAAAGTGGATGAAGTTTGAAACAATATGAAGCGAGTTTAGTCGCAAAAGATTATTCTCAACCCTATGGAATAAACTACTAAGAAATATTTGCTCCAATTATTGAAATTAATATAATTTGCATCCTAATTTCTCTGGCTGCAGACCTTGAAAGGTCCATACGACAATATGATGTGAACAATATCTTTTTGCAAGAGGAGTTGATAAAAAATTTATATAAATCCACCAACAAGATACAACAGGTCTTTCATAGAAAATGAGTGCAGTTAAAAAAGACACTACATCATCAAGTTCACAGTTTGGAAAATTTATAAAAGCCATGTATGAAATGAGACATAAAAAAATCCAAGGAAATCAAAACCTCTTCATAAAACATCCCATTGAAGAAAAAATTTCAATTCTTATTTAATATATTAAAGAAAGAATTGTTATGGATGATGATAACAGAGAATATAAATTACTCAAGAAAAAACTCGCTGCAAAGTTTGAAAATAAAGTAACTCCTGAAGCACCAATACTACCTAGGTCCGGTGTGAATTAGTTAAAAAAGAAAGGGATTTTTATCTCCTAACAAAAGTATGTTATGGATCTTTTGAGAGAAATAAAAGGGATAGATTTTAAGCTAAATGGAACTCCAATTGAACAAGGTCAGAAACTAAACACAAGTGAACAAGGAAAAACATTTGACAATATAAAAGATTAATTGGGAAATTAATTTATATTGCGACACACTATTGGAATCTCATCCTAACAACGTTTTAGTTCTAGGTTTCAAAATCAATTTATGCACAAAATATAGAAATCTCACATTCAAATTGCTTACAAAGTTTTCAGATTTTCCAAAATCAAGTCCTGAAAAAAATAATTCTCAATAAAAAAATGAAATATTACAAATTAAAAGTTATGATGATGTGGATTATGTGGTATTAGGATTACTAGTATAGATAAAAGATTCTCTTCAAGATTGCACATTGGTAAGAGAAAATCTGGTAACAACGAGAAGCAAAAAACTTGTAGTCTTAACGTCAAGTGTTGAATCTGAATTCAAAGCAATAGCATAAGGTATCTGAGAACTTCAATGAATTAAAATCAAACTAAAAAATTTAAAATTAAATGAGAATGACATACAGGGATATACTATAATAATGTTTATCATCAAAATTGCCTATAATCGAGTCAACATAATCAAAATAAAAAATGTTGGTATTTATAAGCATTTCATAAATAAAAAACTGGAAAGAGAGTTAATTTTCCTTCTATATGTTCCAACGGGAAATCAACTTGCCTACATACTTACCAAAAAACCCTATAGCCCAGCCTTCAAATATTGAAATAATAGATCTCTATCACACAGTTTAAGGGATAGTGTTTAGACTATTAATATAGCACCATAATAAATAAAATGAGCTGCTGATCCATGTGCTTAATAAGAAATAGTATGTGCCACAGATTCATGTGTTTAATAAGAAGTATGTGTCACTGATTCATGTACTTAACATGAAAAGGAGTGTCATGAATTCATACGCATAACATGAAAAGAAGAGTGACAGAGATTGCTCCTCCTTCCACCGGCCAAGAAAAACAATTTTGATAAGCAGGTTTAAATTTTAAATTATTTTTAATTAGCAAATTTAAATTATTTTCTAGATAAGTTTGACCATAGATGCCAATTGGGGATGAACAAAGTAAGCTTTCTTGCCAATTCTTTTCTATACATAATACTAAGGTGCTTCTTCATTTTAAACGTGCAGGACTTAACTCTAAAAATTATATCCTCAACTATATCCACTTTATGTTATATAATGAATAAAAAATACTTAAAACACGTCAAACATAGACATCATTTATCTTCTAATAATATCAATTCATAGTTGTTAACATCACATTGATAAAATTACATACCACATATTTGATATTTGCTCTAATAATTCTAAACTCTTCATCATCTCAATCTTTCCTTTAATGTACATATCTTTTAATTATTAAAATAAACATCTCACTGATTAAAATTATGACACTGTAAAAAGTATACACTAAAGCATCCTATTTTGAATATCCTTGTAAATATCTCATAACTAGTAAAAAATATAATAGAAATGTTAAGCTTTGATGTAATCATTAAATAATTGAAAACTATTTGATCAGTTCATAACAATTAATACTAGTTAGTGCCTCTTCATATAATTTTTTAATAACTTTGACATAGCTTTAATCACATCCTACTACTTTAATACATCATAAAATTATTCTTGTAATAATTCCATCATATACCTTCTTAAGATCAAAAAATCATATGAAAATCATTTAACTTGTTTATAATATGCTATTAATCTTCTTTGCCACAAAAATCACTCTAAAACACATCTTCCTTGCATGAAATCAATTAAGTCTCTAAAATTGATGTATTTTTCTAAATGTATGCTTCCATTAATCACTCCCATACCTTCATTATATGGTTATTCAGTTAGAATTAGTATAATCTTGAATATAGTTTTTCTTCTTAAATATTGGAATTGAATTATTTCCTTTTGTTAACCGCCTGACATCCTCCTAGCTTGCAAACTTCTAAAGAAAGAATTTGTTAAACAGATCACTATAATAACTTTCAAAATCAAATTAAAATGATGTGTTAAAAAAAATGTTATAATACCTTTCATAGCCCTCTAAACCTTAATATGTATCCAAACCGTACCTATATCATCACCATTCAAAGCTAAATCCCACCTTTTTTCTCATCAATCTATAATTTACATCATTAAATTGGTAATTACGATCCCTAATCAAATATTCATAAAAGCTCCAATTTAACAATTTCACAAAATTGCATTTCCTTCTTTTTTCATGTCTTTTTCTTTAACAAAAAAGGTTGTTATCTTTACTTCTATTGCATATAACTAGATCAAATTCTTCAAATCATGCATCCTTTCCTTCATTATTCTATAAATGACACCTTATCTGTATTTAATACAAATCAAATTATATAAATGCCAAAAAAATGAAATTTGTCTTTTGCACACTACCATTTTCAATACTTGTATCTTTTTTAACAGTATTAACTATTGCTATTTATTAAAAACATTATTCTCCTTAATAACATTTTATGTATTCATCATCTACTCAAATCATGAAGAACTATTGTAAAGATAGAAGCGAGAAAA